TTTTCCCTATATATATATATATATATATATATATATATATATATATGAATGAAGAAAAGAAAGAAAAGTCTTGATCTGTTTCTCACCGTGGTTTGGAAAAAGGAAAAAACCTAAACAAGGACGACAGATGGCGAATGCATTTGATGTTGATCTTTGGACTTTTGATTACCCATCACCATATCTAGACCTATTCCAAACCCGAGTGGACCGAATTATTCCTGTAGATGATAAATAGGTTTGAGAAACGTGTTTGGTAGATAACTTGAAGTTCCTTCTGAAGTCTTGGGTAGTGAGCTTCGTCTTATAGTGTTATGATCATTTTGTTGGAATGGAGATCTGAATAGGGTAAGTCTGATTTCATTCGAGGTTCGTCTATGCTGGATAGAAATTTCTCTTTTGAAACTCGTGAGTATTTTGATTGATCATCTGCTTTGTTCTCCCTCAGTTGTTTTTCCCATTACATATTTGCTCGAGACGAGCAAGAGTCTAAGTCTGGGTGAGTTTGATAACAAGATTTTTTTCTCTATTTTAAGGCCCATTGCCTAGCACTTTCGCATCGGTTTTGTGCACTATTAGACATTTAGGATCATTTTAGGACTAGGGTTAGTTCCCTTTGAATTCTTTGGTGGTTGAACAGGTAACAGATACATTATGGGCACCAGAGGAGCATAATCGAGGATTTTGGAGCAAATTGGATCGGAACGGAATCTTAAGGACATTTCTAGCTCGAGTTGCATCTGAACACGACCATGTCAGTTCAAACACGGCCGTGCAGAAATGAAGAAACGAAGAAATTATTACAGACAATATGCACAGACTGTGTCGTATCTTGACACGGTCGTGTCGATTTGCAGCTCACCCCTGTTCAGCCTGTGCAGAAGTGCAGAAGTTTGATCAGACAATTGACACGAACCGTGTTGTCATTTGACATGATCGTGTTGCATTACGAGAAAACTTTCTATTTTGCATCCGAACTACCGTTTTCAACAAAGGAAGAAGCCTGGCCGACAAGAAAATAAATACGAGCTTGGGCCTCAAAAACCATCGAGAGATCACAGTAGAAGCCACGAGAACTCGAGAGAGAATCAAGACGGAGTTTTCGGAAGCAGAGATTGAAGAATCATCGTCGAGAAATCGCTGCGAGTTTCTTCTCTATTTGTTTTCCATATTTCTCTTTAATTGATTTGAACTCATTTGTTGTTATCGGTTGCGAGTAGTCGTTTCACTGTAGCTAGGGATTTAACCTTGTAGGGATTTGTTTGGTTTTTATTTTCCGAGACTACGTTATCGATACTCGTTGGTTTAATTGAATTGAGTTTATAGCTTTTGATCTTCTTGGTCTGTTGATTGATTGATCTTAGATTCTGTTTGACATCAAGAGTTGGAATTAGATTCAAAACGAATTCATTGAATGAATTGATTAAGAATATTGAAAGATAGGTTAATCGGTTTGGGAACTATGATAGTGTTTGTTAATGCGTTTGATATTTTAATCTATTAGGTTAAGAGATTGATAGGTTAAATTATTGAATAGTAGATTTAGGACTTGAAAGAGTCAAATCTGATATTAGAACTTGAGATCCCCGATTAGAGTTCGGTATTCGTAGATTCTCCATTCTTAGAAACAATATCTGCGCGTTAAGGTTATCCCGAAGCTACGGTGGTTTAGTTATCTGAGTTTACTTAGTTTGTTTATTCCTTTATTTTCGATATTCATATACTTCATTCCATATTTCCTAATCTAATTCTTGATCGAGTCTTGTTCCTAAAGTTAACTATTCCCTGTGTTCAACCCTGGTACTACAGTTGATCCGTATCCTTGCGGTAATCACTGTGTCTAGGTTTTTATCACTTGAGCATTATTTATATACTTAGATTTGTATTATCAGAATGTAGAACCAAAACTCTAAGTTCGGTGAAGAAATCGGAGTTGAACAGAAAAAGGAGACTTGTTCATCTTATTACGCATATAATCACTTACATATATACATGAAGGTTAACAAAATAAGAAAAGGAAAGTAAATTACAAAATAAGGAAGAAGCACAACGGTACAAAAGAGAGATATAACACATGGAAACAATTCCTTCGATTGTATTCGTGAGTAACTTGGGCTTTTGACCCAAGTCTTGAATCCATGCTGTCTTTATTTGTTGTAGTTGGGTCTTCTTGAGCCCAAGACTTGTGTCTTCTTTTTTTTTTTGATGAAAGTGATGTACATTACTTTAGCAAAAATGTACAACCAGTCCATGACTGTATACATAAGGAACCCATAAGCAAATGGTCAAAATATAGCTGAGACAATCAAACAGTCTAAACGTCTAACAATAGAGGTGTAATATCTAAGGTGGTCTCGAATAGCGAGTAAGGTAGTATCAATCAGTTAGGAGGGATGAACTAGCAGATGAGGGAGTGCACTTACAAGATAGGAGGACAGTACGCATAACACGATCGACTTTCCATCGCAGATGCGGGATCGAGTGGGCAGTGCTTCGGAAGATCTTGTGGTTCCTTTCCTTCCAGATTTCATAAACTGAGATCTGAAGTAATAGTTTGGCAATGGTCTTCCTTCCACCGGTTGTGTCGTTAGGCATGTTGCTGAACCACTCCACCATCTCCGATGTGTTTCGTGGTATTCTGGGCTAGCAAACCTCCGCGAAGTGACTCCAAACGTTGGAGGCATAGCTGCACTCAAAGAATAGATGGTGGTGAGATTCAACAGCCGAGTTACACAACCTGCAAAGCGTATCCAAGACTTGTGTCTTGGTTTGTGTTCATGTCCGTTAGTCCTTGAGACATGTCCCACTCTTTCGTGATCAAGTCTGCGCCATCCCGAGTATCTTCTTCAACATTTTCTTCCCATGTACGTACGTTGTTTGTCTCCGAGTTTCCATGCACGTTGTGTCCTTGGTCTTTACTTGGGAACGTGTCCAAGTGCATTCCATGTGGTCCGAATGTGTTCGTCAATTTCGACATTCATCTCAACAGTTTTTGGATCAAAACAGGTTAATATATTGATACTTTTGTCTATTCATGCAAGATCCATGCATTGGATTTCGTTTTTGTATGATTCCGGTGCGTGAAATCCAATGTTGGAACTGTAAAAACCGTTGTAAACTCATATTTTATGATCTCCAAAACCCTACATTAAGCACTTCCGTATTAATGGTTGATAAGTCAAAACACCAAGCGAATCGATTGGAGTTCGTGAATTAGTTCTCTCTGGAATTTCATGGAGAATCACTCTAAAATTGATGAAAAATTAAATTGTGTTCGACAAAGAGAGAATTAAAAATAATAACGAAATCCTAACGTGGTCTCAAAATGATTTAGTTTTTACAAAACACGTAAAAGTGACCTGTGTTATGTTAGATTCAATATGATCCATGTAAAATCTCTAATAAAAAAAGGCAAAATACATACAAAAGTAACTTGGTTCGGATTGAGACTGGCACGATCTGATCTTCATTTAGAACGGTCTGGGTTACAACTAGAACAAACCGTTTCAGATCTCTGAGCAAATGTCTACGAATTTGAATCAATCTGATCTCGCCTTGATCCATGATGACCTAAGTCTCTATAGTTATGGCATGCATTTTAGATCAATCACGATCCGTGTCAGATGTATGATCTATCACATTCACTTGTAAACAGCATGTTCAAGTCTCGGACTCACTCGTGTGCTTGTTAGGGATGTCAAACAAGCCAGATCGTTAAGCTCGTTTTTTATCCGGACCAGAAAATTCATGGCTCAGCCAAATTGCTTTAACTCGTGAGCCGGTATCATATTTTTCTAAATACCTAAAAAATCATATCAAGCGAGACTGAGAGAGGGAGATGAGGCCGAGATCGGCAACGGAGGGCGAGAGCGAGCGCTGAGTGGCGACCGGCGAGAGCGAGAATGAAACGAGACTGAGAGAGGGAGACGAGCGAGACTGGGAGAGGGAGACGAGGTCGAGACCGACGATGGAGGGTGACCGGCAACCGGCGAATAGCGAGCGGGCACCGACGACAATCTGAGAGAGAATATAAGGTTTGCGAAAGAAAGAGAGAAAAGAAAATGAGAAGCGGTAGAAATGAGGAAATAGAAAAAATTAGAGATAAATGGTAAATATTAAAAAGGTAAAGAAACCCTAATTTTTTTAAGCTAACTCGCGAACCGGTCGAGTTAACTCTTTGGGTTCGACTTGTGACGAGTTGTCTCATTCAGCTCGTTTTTTATTTGCATTCAGATATTCTTGGCTCGGTTCGGTAAAAAGAGAGCTAACCTCGAGTTGCAAGTCGGATTATTTTGACATCCTAGTGATCGTCTTTAGCGTGAGTCTATGGTAAATATAAAAAAAAAATCCAACACTTGATTGTATAATAAATAAATTTACTTACAATTATTTGGTATATTCTGGTTGTACAATTAGACATGTTTTCTTTTAAACCCCAGTGTTTAATTGCCAAACATGCAAATGGTTGTTTATTTTATAAAACACAAAATATTTCCTTTTAGCAATTACAATGATTTGTCTCTAAATTTTTAACAATAAAAAAACACCAATTGTTTTTGGGCATAATAATAAATAAATAAATAAATAAAGTCACCTTTACTTAATGCAAAATTAACGACAATCTAGATCTGAATCTGTCAAATTTTGGTCAAATAACACGCTCTATTTTTTGGTCAAATAACACTCATCCATTTTTTTAATAATTGTAAACATATTTTTTTAATATCATAGCCCTATAATAGCCAAATTAAAAATATGATATTTTTATTATCATAATGCAATGCTTAAATCTTGAATGATTTATAGGATTGAAGATTTGAATCTATAACTAGGGATTTTTGGGTGGACAATAAAAACTATATTGTATAAATTTAGTAATAGATTTATTATTGCATAAAGTAAAACGAAAAGAAGGAAAATGAAATAATAAAAAAAGGGTGATGAATTAAACTAACGTATTTCTTCCTCTGTAACTTCCATATAAGAAAATCATCAGGCTTTTAAGGCAGGCTGTTCTTCTTCATCCCTTCGCTTCACACAAGACCTCCTCAAGAAGGTGAGCCTGCTCGATCGCCTGAATCGACGCCGCTTTCGCATCTCTCTTCGCCGTCTCTGATTTGATCGCCGACGGTTGGGTTTCTTTCCTTCGTCGCGTTCCTGCGGTGGAGTGATTTCTGGCGGCGGCGGCGGGTCGTGCTCGGCTCGCATTGAAGATTTCCTTGGTCTTCGAGGTCGAATCGAGATCTGAGATACGAGAAAGCTTGGAGTCTCGTGATTTGTTGGGGAGAGTCTTCAGTTTGATCCGAGATGTCGTCGGAGAGCGAGCGGAAGTCGTCGTCGGTTTCGGATATGGGAGCTTGGGCGATGAATGTGATAAGCTCCGTTGGAATTATCATGGCGAACAAGCAGCTCATGTCTTCTTCTGGTTTCGCCTTCAGTTTCGGTTCGTCTCTTCGATCTTATTCTCTTTTGCCTTTTACTTCTTCTTCTCGATTCGAGATCTGGTGATCCGGATACTGTCTTCAATTTCAGCGACGACGCTTACCGGATTCCACTTTGCTTTGACGGCATTGGTGGGTTTGGTCTCGAACGCTACTGGATTGTCGACGTCGAAACATGTCCCGATGTGGGAGCTTGTCTGGTTCTCCATTGTCGCTAACGTCTCCATTGCTGCCATGAACTTCAGTCTCATGCTTAACTCCGTTGGCTTCTACCAGGTTTTTGTCCCTTTACTCTCGAATCAAAATTCTTCTTTCCTCCCCGCTCATTCACCTATTAGAACCAAAACCCAGGTTGTGTATAGTTTCTTCGGTATTTGATTTGCTAATATCTGCAGTTGCAATGCCTAATTGCCTGAAATCACACGGCAGATTTGCTTGTAATCAGTTCAAATCTAATCTTGGCAAAACCCCACAACTAATGACTGTTTGTCATTCCTCGTATATCTGAGACCGAATTGTTCCAGTATGAATGTTTTGCCTTGTCAGATCTCTAAGCTGAGCATGATTCCAGTGGTCTGTGTCATGGAATGGATCCTCCACAGCAAGCAGTACTCCAAAGAAGTGAAAATATCTGTCTTGGTTGTGGTTATAGGTGTCGGCATTTGCACTGTTACTGATGTCAAGGTTAACGCAAAGGGTTTCGTTTGCGCCTGCGTTGCCGTTCTCTCCTCATCTTTGCAACAAATTGTAAGATTTTATGTTTCAGAATACCGTTGGGTGTATGTATTGCCCTGCTTCAGAGTTTTTCATCTGGATTGTTTGGAGAGTTTTGTTTCTTAATGCCAAGGATTCAAGATCATTGTATAGTCCCCAGAGTTCCTTTGAAAGTTTCTGATTGTTGTCAAGTTTGTCTATGCATGGGAAATCAAGAATTTCTCAACTTTGTTGAATTAATTGTTCGTTGTGTTTCTTGCTTGCGACAGTCGATAGGTTCCTTGCAGAAGAAATATTCTATTGGGTCATTTGAATTGCTGAGTAAGACTGCGCCGATTCAAGCTCTTTCACTCCTTGTTCTTGGCCCCTTCATAGATTACTTCCTCAGCGGCAACTTCATATTTAACTACACGATGTCATATGGTTGCATCGTAAGATTCCCTTTTCTCCCTCTGCTATATCGATATCTTGTCCTCCGGGCCTTTTTTTGGTCTGATATCGTGCTACATTCTATTTGCAGCTATTCATCCTTCTCTCGTGCGCCCTAGCTGTGTTCTGTAACATAAGCCAGTACCTCTGCATCGGGCGATTCTCTGCTGTTTCCTTCCAGGTCCTGGGTCACATGAAAACCGTTTGCGTCCTCACGCTGGGATGGCTTCTCTTCGATTCGGCAATGACCTTTAAGAACATATCGGGCATGGCTCTTGCCGTTGTCGGAATGGTAATCTACAGTTGGGCTGTGGAGGTTGAGAAACGGTCTAATGCCAACAAGACATTGAACAATGTGAAACACAGCTTGACAGAGGAGGAGTTTGAACTTCTGAAGGAAGGTGTAGAGACGAAGCCATTGAAAGATGTAGAACTCGGCCAGGCAAAAGCTTAGTGCAGGATTCAGTTGCAGGGAGAGGGACTTATAAAAGTCAGACAAGTACCTTCGTTCCCTTTATTGTTCTTGCCATAGTGTCTGTATCTTTTGTGTTATTTATACAGAACCATGCCTTCTCCCCACCCATCCAAGCTTGTGTCTCCATTGATAATATTCATTATTCACATACGTTGCTCCTGTTCCACTGCGTTCTCGTTGCCATTCCTCGTCCGGTTTTCACCAGATTCCCCATCCGAATATCCAATTGGTGTTATTTGTCTTCTGCTTAATTGGGTAGCCATTACAAGAGATGATGATGCCCTTTTTATGACATGGATAGAATGGCTCTGTAGGGGGACCAGACTGAGCTGTTTTGTGGAAAGGATGTGTCTCTGAATTAATGTTCTAAGATTCTCAGCCTGGTTTGGTTTCCTTCCATTCATTTCACTCACAACCATAGATTATTAACTTTGTTATATACATATTTGGAATATTCGTATGAAATTTTTTTAATGTTTGTAGTTCATTCGCAATGAAAAACTCTAACATTTTATGGTGGTTATTTTTCAATAGCATATTTCAAATTTCGATGCAAATCGTAGCAAAAATGACAGTTAAATCAGTAAGTATATATGAAGTTTACATCCCCTGCAGGCTGTGAAGATTTACAGAAGAATCCATTTTGTATTGTTATAGAGCCGCCATTTTTATCAAAGCTTTTGTTCGTCGCTTTTAAAAAAACTGAATGTAGTCACATTTTTGGGGTAAACATTTTATTTACATGACGAATTTCGACTATTATGCAAGGACCACGTTGTTGTCACGTCATCGAAATTTGTCGTGTCATTTGTAACGCCATACCATTATAAAAAAAATAATTATATATATATATTAGAGGTGTGAATAGTATGAATATATGTATATTTTAATTTTTAATGACGCAACATTACAGATGACATAGTAACTTCCAAGCGTGGCTCTTAAGTGGCAATTGAAAATCGCAACGTAGGTTCTAATGGATGAGGCTGTGAAGATTTACAGAAGAATCTACAAAACCAAAAACTGAAGAGTTAATGTACTGATATGTCTGATTAATAATTGATATATTTTTTGTGAAATATTTGAAAAAATTAATGTTAAATGTAAATATAAATAACTGGAGACTCGGAGAGGATCTCGAACAGGAGCAGAGCAAGGTCACAGAAACTCGGAGAGGATGTCGGAAAGGGCGAACAATTCTTTTAACACGTTTCTTTCTACTCATTTGGTCTCTGATTGGCACTTTTCTACTACCATTTGTACTCTCCACATTTTGGTATTCATAGAACGCTAAGGAGTGGCCATTTCGGGTTTAGGTTCGAATTCAGTTATGTTATTTCGGTTATAAAAAAATTATAACTATTCAATTTTTATGTCAATTTCAATTCAACCCAATTCAAATTCGATTTTTTATTGGTAAAAACTTATTTTTCAAAGAAGTTTTCGGTTTTTTCGATTATTTTTTTATTCCATTCATTTTAATTCGAATTCGGTTTTTCGGATTTAGAGAAGTAATAACTGTTCGGTTTTGTATCGAATTCGATTCGATTAGAGTCCTATCCGCCTTGTCCCTCCCTCCTCTTTTTTTAAAAAATGGTAGTCATATGGCTCGCTCTATACTGTAGAGATGATCTGTTTGCAAAAAAAAAAAAACATGTATTCCATGTGGGCATCTCTTCAATTCACAATGTTCCAAATTCATATTTATTTCTTTATTTCAATATTAAAAATGAAGTTATTACATTTATTTTGGAGTTTTATTACATTTTGCAGGATTTCTAGAAGAAGATGCCATTAATTTGTTGAGAGATAATAGTAATAAAAATATACAATTAAGAAGATCTTTGCGTCTTTAGAAGAAACAAGTAAAAAGCAAAATTAGATTTTACATATCAGACAGGAAAGGAAAGGGATTCTCATAAAAAAGTTTGGAGTCATGAAACTCAGAGAGAAGTATAAACTTACTGCCCATCATCAACGCACAGAGATGACATTAGATATCTGGGAGATCCCCATATTGGCAAATCAAACAACGCCTCCTTCCTTTCTTCTTCTTCCGCCCTACACATTTCTTCTGCCGCTTCACACATCTTCGAAACGTCGCTTACCATCGCTTCATGTGCTTCCGCCTGCCAAATTTTGGATCCATTCTTAACACACTTTCACTCAACGTCAAAACACATCACACTATCCATGGGAGCTCCAAGATTTCAACAGTTCTGTGGGAAATCCCTCGGGAACAAAGCAGCACAACCAAATGTTGAAGCATGAACTGAGACCCCCCAAAAAAACGAATTACCATGAATAGGCGTTCATCGAGCAGAGACCGCCGCCCCGATGCATCTTTCCCGCCACCTGAAGATGACTCCTGAAACGACGGCGTCTTTTCTGCATTTCCCAGGCGCTCTCTCTGCCGCGTCTGGAATCGATCGGCCTTAACTTGCATCGCGCTCAAACTGTTCGACAAAATCTCCCACTGCTGGATCTCGCTCTGGTACCTGCTCTTCAGCTTCAACAGAATTCTCTTCATCCTCTCCCTCTGACCCCCCCGCCTCTGCATCCGCCCCTGGATCAGGCGGCCTGGCGGAGGCAGAGGCGGCGCTCTCATCTCCGGCAACACGGCGGCGCTTCCTTCGCTTGTATACGAAGCCATCATCGCTGCAAAGCTCCCACTCTTCGTCTCCGTAAGAATCCATCGTAGCCACAACTGCTACCGGAGCTGGTGGATCCATCGGCAGAAGAAAAGCTCCGAGCGGGAAAATTTCGCCAGTGAATTTCAGAAAGTTCGGCCTTTTGGGAAACTTTCAAAGGACGATTTGATCTTTTTTTTCCTAATTCAAATCGAACAAGAAATAAAAATAAAAAACAGCTTGAAATTGTTAATGGGCCGTAACGTAGAGGGTAAGGCCCAAAATGGCCTACAACAGAGCCTCATAGACGGCCCTTGAGCTCTTCAGTATGTGATTAGCTTCACGTCAAACAAATCTCACGCGCCTAAATTTGCCATTTCATGACTTTAGCGGCCATCGATATGTGGCGTTTCGATTTTTTTTTTTTTTTGGTAAAATGTGAAGTATATTGATATAAACACGGATTACAAGTCGGTATTAGCCGAAAGTAGATCTAAAACCATAAGAGAAGAACCCATAGCAAGTGGTATCAAAAGCCCTGTAAAGGGATACAGTTTTGAAACGGAAACTCAAAAGATGTCGTTGGAGAGACTCTCTAAATAATACCAATCAGTGAGTAGCGAGGAATGACGATACCGGTTTTTCCGAATTGCCGCTAGAAGCGTCATCCGCATAGCTGTAATAACCTTGCGTCGAATTTGGGTCGCATCTTTCCGTTTGAGTCTGAAGAGGCAATAGTTCCTTTCCGTCCAAATTGCTCCTATCGTGATCTGGAGAAGAATCTTTGCTAGAAGAGTACGGTTTTTAGTTCTGTCATTACCAATTCTGTTGAACCAACTAATGCAACCTGTTAGGTCCTCCGGTGGATCGTCCCAAATTAGCCGGGCTAGGCTAGTCCAAATTTGGGAGCTATACATGCAGCCGAAGAAAAGGTGTCGGTGTGATTCTCCTTCGGTGTCGCAGAGTGGACATATGGAATTCTGGATTAACCCCCAACTTACGAGCCTATCTTTGGTGGGTAGTCTCGCAAGGAACGCTTCCCATTGTGTGAATGAGAGACGAGGGAGTAGCAAACCTGAACCAAGTCAGAAAATACCATTCCACTCTTGGGGATCTACTCCTAATTTGATTCCATGTTTTGCTGGAAAGAAAACAATGGCTGTAGTTTCCATCGTTCTGTTTCCACATAGGTAGGTCTTCATCTTATTCCTCTGATGGTGGATCAATGGCTGATAAGATTGTTTGTAGTTCCTGCACTCTATCATTTCGAGCCCCCGGCATATTCCATTCACCGTTCCTGCAGGCCTGAGAAACTTTGTCGTATTTTCCAATTCGCAGCATTCTCGGGCCTGATTCTCCTACGAAGTGAATTAGCGGACCAAGCTTGGTCCAAGAATCGTGCCAAAAAGAGGTAGATCTTCCATTTCCGAGAATAATCTTTAGAAATGGTCGAGCAATCTCCTGCAATCCAAGGAGTTTCCTCATATGCCATGAATGTGTTTGATTCGCGATGGTACCCCAGAACCCCCTTCGTTTCAGCGGATTTTCCATCAACCAAGCAACCCAAAGCGATCTTTTCTTGCTGAATATGGACCATATTTGCTTCAGTCTGAACACTATATTAGTATCACTGAGCTTTCTTAGCCCTAACCCGCCCTCTTCCTTCGGTGTACAGATGTTGCTCCAAGAAACTCGCGTTGTGGCATTTGCAGATTGTGTGTTGCTCCAAAGAAAATGCGAACAGATACCATCAATTTTTCTCAAGATACCCTTAGGTAATAGAAAAATACTACTCCAAGAATTTACCAATCCGTAAATCACCGAGGATATCAACTGAATCTTACCCGCATAAGAGAGGAATTTGTTTGTCCAGCTGGAAATTCTGCGTTTAATCTTATCTAGTAAAGGTGTGAAATCATTTGCATTGAGCCACCATGGACTAAGGGGAACACCCAACACTACAAAAAAAGTGGTCATTTCCAACGGGTAAATCCGTTGGAATTTCGTCGTTAGAAATCGGTGTCCGTTGGAAAACCGTTGGAATTTTCAACGGAATTTCAACGAATTTTTCCGTTAGAATTTTCCAACGGATTTTCAACCGGCATCCGTTGGAATTTTCCAACGGATTTCCAACCGCAATTTCGGTTGAAAAATTCCAACGGAATTTCCAACCGCAATCCGTTGGAATTTTCCAACGGAATTTCCAACCGATATCTGTTGGAATTTTCCAACGGAAATTTCAACCACATTCCGTTGGAATTTTCCAACGAAAAATTCGAAACATATTCACGACCCGACCCCGACCCCGACACCGACCCCGACCCCGACCAAACCACGATCCCGAAACTCACTTCCCAGTAGGTCACCCATCCTTCCACTGCTCCAGCTCAATCCTCCTTAACCCTAGAGTTCCAATTAGAACTCTTCCAACTCCTCCAAGTTAAACTTCTGATATCATATAACATTAATATATATACATATATAAATATTTATACATATTTACATATTTACATATATACATATTCAAATTCATATATATATATATTCAAATTAATATATATATATATATATATATATTTGTTATGTATATATATATAGTTAATATATATATATATATGCACGTATTCGTATACATATATGTGTATATATACACACATCATATTTGTATATATAAAAATATATAAACACAAAATATATCTATATTTATACATATATAGATGTATAAATATATAAAATATTTGTTTATACGTATATATACACCTCCTTAATATACATATATATACGCATATATGTATATATATAT